CCCCAAAACCCCAAAACCCCAAAACCCCAACATCTTCAAAAAAAATTGAAAATAAAATAAATTGGATTATAATAAAATGGAAAGTCAAGACCAGATTGTTCAAGAAAAATATGATCAAACCATCAGGTAAAATTATCTAAGTTTAGGGGTGTTCTAAAACCAAACTAGAAATTTAATGATTCGATGTACTTAGAGAAATTTAGAGTTCGTTTATATCTTAGAGATCACAAAGATTTACTTATTTGTAAGTATTAGATTGCTAACGTGACAAGAGTAGCTCTTTTGTTTCCATAGTACCTCGGTATCATCATAAAATAGTCTCCTCTTCACTATTCTATCTTTTTTCATATTATTACTAAAATTTTGCTTTCTTTTAATTAATCCTCATTAAAATATCCTGAAGTTAAAATAATACTTCCCTTCAAAGAGAAATTAACGCTCTTACTTTACCAAGAGATTTCTTATTTTCCCTTCCATTATGCTTCTTACACCTCACAAACTTGAAGTTGTATTTAAGTTTTAATTCAGACTCCTCTATACCTTTGTCTTCTATTTTAATACCAAATTCTGACACAAATCAGATTTCTAAGGTCACCTCTAATTGTGTAGTCTAGAGAAGGCTACCCTGGTCAAAAGCATTACACAAGAATATCAGAGATGCTGCTGTATCTACTACAATACATTTTCAGAAGAAAATAAAATGAAACCACTAGATCCAAAATCTGATGAACAATGAGTAGACCATTGGCTTGAAATGGATTTTGAAGCACCTGAAGATATGGAATAATTTTTTTTTAATTCTTTGATATAGATAAGGTCGAATTTTATATTGGCAAGATGAAAAATTAAGGATATTCTGAATTTCATAGACTTCTCATTCCCCAATAAAACACATGAGCTACGTACTTATCTATCTCTTGAAATGAAGCTGAATAGAGCTACTTATTTTGACTCGTTGATCAGGATCAGCTCTAAAGTAACTAGAAGAATGAACCTCAAATATTTTTGTCTTAACCTTCGCCAACTGAAGAGGTTAGTGGCAACTTATAGGATTGATGAGAAGGCAGATAAAGGATTTAAACAGTTGGTGTTTGAAAGTTAGAACTCAGGAATTAATCCAATATTTTCATGATTTAATTTTGAGTAATTTTGAGGGCTCTTTGGTTAGAGATCTCAAACTGCTCAGAACAATCAACTTCATCAGCACAGATCAAGCAAATATCTCCCAATTTTCATTAAAATTGCTAAAATCTCCTCTTTATAGTAAAGATTGCCCAACAAAATTTAAGAAATATGGATCCTGAATTAAGATATCCCACAAGGATACTTGCTTGTCAAGATGAAATTTCTAAAACTTATCGAACATCCATAAAGCCATGCTTTCTTTCTCTCCAATATTAATGAAAATGATATTTAAATTATATTTCCTTGTTTAAAAATAAGAATAGCAAGGGTAATTTCCTGGCAAAATCAATATTTTAATCCGCTTTTATAATACTCAAAGCATACAATGCAATGTGATTCCAAGCAGTTATCATGCTTTGTCTAATTCCAATTGAAGCATTTACTTTATCAAAGCTTCTCTTTGAGGCATAATTTGGGCTCTTAGTCTTCTAAAATTCAACATTCAATGCAATTTATACAGGCATGTGAAGGAATTGGATATTTGATTCTGTAAGTTGTCCATTCCAACAATCCCTGATTTCTCAAGAGCTCTGACAAATTACAAAATTCAGGAAATAAATTTATCAGAGACAGGAGAATATTCTTACAACAATTGGAGAGATCATCGCGACTAATTCTACAACTTGATAAAAGGCATCTCATCTTCTTCAGATTTAAGAAAGAATCTCAGAAAAGTGCATATTTGGCGTTGTGGAATAAAACAAAATGAAGCTGATGACATCTTGGTAGAAAATCAACTTGAAGGAACAGAAGTGATGTATGGATCTTAAATTCATGAGAAATTGTTATTTCTTATTTTATTTAGTAAAACACGACAAAGCCTGCTAAAACTTCAATATTAAGCAGCTTTTGTATTTATTTTGAGGTAGCTTATGAACCTGATTTAAAACCTATAAACTTTAAAATTGTGTAATTAAATATATTTTGGAATAAGTTTTCAAAGATATTAAGCTGAGGCTGCTTTTAGATCACGAGTATCGTTATGCTTAACAGTCTTGGCATCTAACATTTCATATTTAGTGCAATTTTTATATTATTCAAAGCTTTTCACCCATCTGGGGTTTTGGGGTTTTGGGGTTTTGGGG